TTCACTTAACATAATCACTTTCATTTCTATCCAAGTTGCTGAAAATAACAGGATGCCATCTTTTTAGTGAGGAAATAGCATTTCATTGTGTATAGATACTGCATTTTCTTTATCCATTCATGCACTGGGGGGCATCTAGGTTGATTCTGTATTTTTTTTTTTAATATGTGTGGGTGAAGCTACAATAAACTTAGGAGAGCAAGTATCTTTTTGGTATAATGATTTCATCATCTTTGGATATACACCCAGGAGTGGAATTGCTGAATCATATGGCAGTTTCATTTTTAGTTTTTTGAGGAATCTCTATAGTGATTTTCATCCCCATCAGTAATGTATGAGTCCCCATTTCTCCACATCTGTGCCCATGTTTATTTTTTGGCTCTTTGAAGGTGAAGGTGATGTCTCATTGTGGTTTTGGTTTGCGTTTCTCTGATGATTAGTGAAAGTATCTTTTTCAGGTGCTTGTATGTCTTCTTCTGGGAAGTGTTTTGTTCTTTAGTTTGTTTTTAAATTAGATCGTTTTGGTGTTCAGCTTTCAGAGTTCTTTACATGTTCTGGATATCAGTCCTTTGTTGGATGATAGTTTGCAATTATTTTCTTCCATTCTTTAGGTTGTCTGTTAATCTTGATTATTCCCTTTGCTGTGCACAAGCTTCTTAGTTTGATCTCCCTTGTCTATTTTTACTCTTGTGGCCTGCGTCATTGGGGTCCTACCTACAAAAAGTCATTATCTACAGCAGTGTCTTAAACTGTTTTCCCTGTATTTTTTTATAGTAATCTCACAGTTTCAGGTTTAACATTAAGTGTTTGATCTATTTTGAGTTGATTTTTGTGTACTGAGAGGAAGGGATCCAGTTGCATTCTTCCGCTTATGCACATTCAGCTTCACCAGCACCATTTATGGAAGAGGCTTTTCTCCACTATGTATTCTTGGTGGCTTTGTCAGAAATCATTTGGCTGTATGAACATGGATTAATTTCTGATTCTCTACTTGTTACATTGCTATTTGTATCTTTTTTATGACAACACCGTGCTATTTTAGTTAATATAATTTTGAAGGCAGGTATTGTGGTATCTCTAGCATTGCTGCCCCCCCCCAAGTCCTTTTGTGGCTCCATATTAGTTATGGGATTACTTTTCTCTTTTGGGAAAAAAATTGGTATTTTGATGAGAATTGCATTGAATCTGTAGATCATTTGGGGTAGTACAGTCATTTTTAACAATGTGAATTGTTCTATTCCATGAACATGGGCTATCTTTCCAATTTTTGTGTTCTCTATTTCTCCCATCACTGTTTTTGTAATTTTCATTATAGAGATCTTTCACTTCTTTTAAGTTTATTCCTAAAGATTGTTTGTAGTTATTATGAATGAGTTTGTTAAATTTACTCCTGAAGATTTTTTTATAGCTATTATGAATGAGATTTTTCAGCAAGTTCACTTTTGATGTGTGAACTGTTACTGGTTTTTATATCCTGTAACTTTACTGAACTTGTAAGTTTTAACAACTTTTTAATGGCATATATAGGTTTTTCTATATATAAAATCATGTCATCTGCAAACCTGGGTAATTTAACTTACTTTCCAATTTAGCTGCCCTTTTTTTCTTTCCCTTGCTAAGACTCCTAGTACTACATTAAATAAGAATGGTAAAAGTAGACATTCTTCTCTGGTTCCTGATTTTAGAGGAAAGGCGTTCAGCTTTTCCCACAGTCAGTATGATATCGGCTATTGGATTTTTGTAGGTAGCTGTTAGTATTTTGAGGTATGTTCTTCCCATACCTAATTTGTTAGGAGTTTTTTTATCATAAAGGGATGTTAATCTTGATGAATGCTTTTTATTTGTCTATGGAAATGCATGATCATATGGTTTTTGTTCATTATTTTATGGATATGTTCTTTCACATTTGTTGAGCTATCTGTGCACCTCTGGCATGAATTCCACTTGATTGTGCTGTATGTTCTTTTTGAGGTGCTGCTGAATTCAGTTTTTTGGTATTCTGTGGGGAATCGTTGCATCCTTGTTCATCCAGGAGATGGGTCAGTGGTTTTTCTTTTGGGTTGTATCATCATCTGCTTTTAGCATCAGGGTAATGATGGCCACATTCTTAGCAGAGTTACATTCATTTTAATTTTTTGGAATAGTTTTTAAGTTGCAGCCCAGGGTGGCCTTGAACTCCAGATGATCTTCCTACCTCAACCTCTCAAGTGCTGGGAAAACAGGTGTGCACCACCACATCCAGCTGGAATTTCTTTTGTGTTTTCCAATTTTTTAACCATATAATTGTCTTTGGTAGTTTCTTATTATTTTTTGTTCTGTTTTATTATTGGTATATGTTTGCCATACATAATAATTATAACAATTACATTACTTTGGGGGAATATATATATAATATCTTGATCAATGCTGATGCCTTTCCTCTTTCCCCATCTCCAAAAAGTCTTCTCCCTGCTTCCTACTCTCTCTCCTTTATTTTACTCTTAAATTTATTTATAATTATGGGTTTTCTCCATATAAGAGAAACCATGCAATAAGTCAGACCTTTTGTGTTTGACTTATTTCACTTAGCATTATGGTCTCAAGATCTATCCGTTTTCCTATAAATGACTCAAATCCATCGATCTTTATGGCTGAGTAATACACTGTGTGTGTGTGTGTGTGTGTGTGTGT